CCATCTCAATACGCCCTGATCTCGTACACTAATCGTATTGAACTTGGTGGGAATCGCTTCAGAACCTTCAATTCCTATAGTGAATGTATCAATAACTTTTCCTCATATATAACGGTTTATAAGATATTTCGTTCCAAACACAGGTATAAGGAGTTGACTCGAGTAAAGAGTCTCGGCGCGCTGCGCCCTGTACAGCCGGTTGCCTGTACTTGGCGCGAGACTCGACCGAGTCTCTTGATTAAGATCAATTAAGCTTATCAGTATTCAGTAACGTATTAACTGGTCGATCTTAGCAGGATAATATTATCAATATTTTAATTGTAAATAAAAATATTCACCTGATTTGGTGGAGATCCATTGGAACTGTAGTCGAACTCTTCTTTACCGACGGATCGTGGAATTGCCTTTCCGTACATTTCGGATTTTAAAGAGCGAAGTTGCTATTCAAATTTCGGTTGAGACTTGAGAAGTATTGAAAACACTAATTTTTTAATACAATTTCTGTGGATATGGTGGTCCGGTCGTTTAATGAGAACTGGTCAGTTCCCGCTTACGGTCGTCTATTTTAATGGCTGCGCCCTATCAAAAACGTAATAAACTGGTAATAAATAAAAATGCGATATCGTGCTCGCAGAGGAAGGCTGACTTCGGCCACTTTAAAAAGGTCAGGATGTTATCGGTCGTTATAATAATTTCACATGATACGTTTCATCATGGAGGCTGCTAATTGATATTTCACGAATCGTGGCAACTATTCACAAAATCAGGAGTCATCGGTCATTGATAAAATGAGCTATCTACGTCGCGCGTTACTTGCAAAATCATGAGATTTATATATATATTCTTGAGAAAGTTTTCTCATTGTGTCATATAAGGGAGAGATTAGGTTATTTCATCAGCAGCAATTATAATACAGGCACGATAAACTGTATTGGATAGCAACTAAGGTCTTATGGACATCCATAACATCTTACGGACATCCATGGGACGTTTGTATCAAATAAATAAAAGTGGATACACGTGTGTTATTTTCCTGGAGACAGTAACAGACGCTGCACTGTGCTTAGGGAAACCATAACTCCAGACTGGATTTTCCAGTAATCAGGTAAACACGTTAAGTAGAAACTGTCTTCGTTTGATTAATATTGCAAATGATGCAAAACAGGTAAAGTAGATTTGAAAGGAGAAAGAGAAAAGAAAATTATGATATTTTATCCGATGCACGTTCCTATTAATCAACAAACGGTTATACAATTATTCAGGTTATTGTAAATATTTCAGAACTAAGAAAAGAGCACTAATAAATATCTGATATCTCGGATTGCAATATTTAATAACAATATACAGATGAGTACATGTAAAATGTGATTTGACATATTGAAGGCTTCACGCATGCGCGCTAGATGCAGTTTATGGAATTCCCTAGATAAAATTTCTTTCATTATTTACGATTAAAGAATCAATTATTTCATATCATCAATGACAGATAAAGTACCTACAAACGATTGCATATGAGCAAAACACGATTAGTTTATAAAATATTTGAATGAGGGGCTAACATAAAGAAAAATTCCCTAGAAAATTAATTTTAATATTATAAATAAATGATGGACTATCAAACGTCGTGGATGCAATATCAAACACCTACAAACGACCTACAAACGATTGCAAAAAAAGTCATTCAAATCCGTTATAGATGAGGGGCTAACTACGTGGAGCCTACAGCCAGGCTACACGTTCGTGATTATGTTCAGCTCGGCTACGATGGGATAAGCATTATCGACGGAGACGATGATCATAAAATCTTACTCCCGGACTCGCCGCTCCGATTTAATCCCATGGTTTTGGTATCGCCTAAAACCGTAGCTTTGTGCATCTCCCTACTCGTCTCTGCGGCATGGCTGGCAAACAGGCATCTCCTTACTCATCTCTGTAGCGGATCTTGCAAGTCCGATAAGTAGATTTCTTAATAATAAGTAGATGTCTTAATAAACATTTCTGGCACATTATTTGCTAACGTATTTACAATGCTTTATTACCATCTGTCGGAACATTTCCTCATATGATAAAATGGAATTATTTCTCACCGTAAAGTGCTGTCTCCGTTAACACCGGCGGCGACTCATGAAACTTGACGAAGCAACAACTTAGTTTCAATACAGCTGGCAATAGCTGATGGTTGTGTCCTATTGAACTTGTTAAAATTTTTAAATTAATTGGTGACACTTCCTTGTATCTGTGATAAATTATCAAGATGAATATGTCTGTGGAGAAGAAGAAATATCCGTCGGCTTTACCAACAAATTGGCCGACCAGAGAGGAGGCATTAAGGAAAACTCAGAATCAACTGACATCCACTGGAAAGGTTGACGTTTATTACTACAGGTATAATGTGAACAAGTGCCTAAAATAAAGTTCTCTTTCAATAAATGGCATAGTGATTAGTTAATCAACATCTTCGTTGTTGCCCTTTTCAGTCGAGGAGTCAGAAATGATGCATCGTTAGTTCCTCCTATCAGACAAACTGCATCTATTTTTAAACAACCTGTAACTATTTACAAGACACAAAAAGACAAAGTTAAGGATATCAAGCATGGAAATCAAGAAAAGCCTAAGCAGGTGAGTTTGTAAATGTCTTATCGGTATAGTTTTTTATGTACAATCGTCATTCATTGATATGTAAATATATTCCATTAAGAATTGTATTTTATTATAGTCAATTATTAAAAGGATTCAAGGAATCTTTATATTAAAATTTGCAATCTATTATTCTTTGCACTTCTTTATAAAATGCACTATGTAGCTTGCACTAGATTTATATCATCGCTCAAGTTATGTTAAGATTTGCCATAGATAATTATGTACTGATAATATATTTAAACTTAGTGGTATTATATGTGAATATAGTTTATTTAATTGGCACTTACTTTGCCTTCGATATATTGCAATCAGTGTTTATTAACAGCCTAACGTATACTATTCACAAAATTGGTAAATACATTCAAATTACTCTAGCGTGGCCATAATACAATAATAAATAATTGTGCAAAAAGTTTGAAAAACTATCGAAAGAATACTTGTGAGCTTTATGTAATTATGGAATAAATTAAATGTAAAAATGAATTTTCCGAAATTGCACAGTATTCTCATGTGTATAAAAAAGTATTGCATGAGCATACACTTAAATAGTATTACTTAAAAAAATTAAAAAGCACATCCCTATTACCCAACATGCTACAACCATCAAATCATTCATTTGTTTAGGAAGGAGCTGAAAAAAGTGACAACAAACACGGTTCCCAAGATAAACCTAAGCAGGTAAATCTGTTTGGTATGATCATCATCATTGCCATCGGCATAGCTGTATTACTGTCCTCAGATTTGCTTGCCATATACCTTGCACTCCTTTAGCCTAAAAAAGTTCAACATTTATACCTATTCTTTATATTATATCCATATACCACAATATAATAGTGCATGTATGTATATAGTAAAAATATCCTAACTGCAATGGTGGTTTTAAAAATTCTATCATTATGCCAAACTTAAGTCTTGTCATTCTCACACAATTAGATTAATTTGCCACTCGCAATTTGAAATTAAAATATTTGGTGAAAAGACCAAAGATCCTTTTCTTGCAGGAATTTTAGTTAATCTTTAATTCAACAAATTTTCAGCTTTTCTGGGAGAAACGTTTGGAAGGTTTAAGGGCTTGCGACCCAGACGGCTACGAGTTCGACGGCATGGATTTACCAAAGACCTTGAAACCCGTAGGGCCCTACATCACTGAAGAGACGTTATTGCAAAGCGTTGCAACAGCACTTCATGTATCTTCCCAACCAGTAACCGGACAGATGGGCTCGAAAACCGCCCTTGAAAAGAACCCCGGTGTCTTTCTCAATCCGGATCAACCCTTAGTTCAGGTAAAATACACAGCTCCTCAACAAAAACATTGATTTGCCAGGAGGAAGATGCTTACTGCGTTGATATATTTTGTTTTTCAAGGCTGTTTGCATAGCGGACGAAGACATTAAGAGACAGGAGGATCGCGTCGCCGTAGCCAGGAAAAAACTTCAGGATGCATTAAGGGCTATTTCTGCTTAGACATTACTTTTCCTAACAGAATCATCTTCTTAAACCCTCCTAGTCTTTAAGCACCTTATAAGTTATGTGACAGCAATTTTCATAATAAATGTTTTCTATTAAAAAAGAAAAAAACCAGACAGGAAGAGACAAAAATTTGAGTAAGAAAATATAAAGATAACTATAATAGTACATTTTTACGTAAACAATGCAAGTAAATTATTGCATAAATCTGTCTGTGATAAGCTCCGTCTATGTTGTTTCATATTTAACAAACATTTCACACAATATTTGACGTATCCTCAGCGCCATTGATAACAACAAATATTTGTGACAAATGTTTACACGATCAAAACACTCTTAACTGTCCTATACGACTGCGTACAAAGATCCAAAGTTCCGCGCTTTAATTACAATAGCAAATTATATAATTCTAAAACACAAGTACACCGTCATAAATCCTCTAAAAATTTTTCTAACAAAAATACCGAAACCAAAATCTAGTTCCCGTTGAAAAACGCCAACGTAAGATCTAACGACTTCATTCCAACGGTACACGACTGTAGCCCTATAAAAAAATCGAGTAAGCATTCGACACAAAAACATTCAAAAACGAAAATCATTTATTAATGTGCAAAAAATGTCAAAAGGGACAATGTCATTTAAAAAAAAAGTTACATAACATCAATTACAAACCTAATACCAACAACGATAACAAGAGAATCAAAATAAGATTAAAAAATCCCAAAAATTAACTAGAACCGTTTACATGCAGTCTACCAAGAGCCCCAAAAGTGCCTAAAACAGCAAAAACCAGGTTTAACAACTCTCTCAGTATTAGAAATAATTTGAAGAACGACTTCTTCGCACGCAGTTACTTTCTTGAAAATATATTGCTATGTATATACTTCAGTATATACGAAGAGCCGGTCACAAAAGAATGCCCAGGTAGTCGCCTCTCAGGTAAGCGTAAGCCAGGTACGCCAGGTGGTAACCTCTTTTTTTATCCTTCAACCAACAGCTGTTTCCCTGTTCATAAAGGGAACTCTCCCTCATTGTCAACCGATCCGATCCGAACCAAGTCTCTCCGTTGCGTTTGCCCTGGGCACATGTCCCACTTTAAACGCTATTATAATTTATCAAACATATGACCGACGATCCTAAAGGCGTGGACGCTTCTAACGTCGCATAACACGTCTCACACGATTTCTCTCAGTGGCGTTATTATTGTCATTCTCAAAGATACAGAACAATTCCCCCAAAAACACGAGGTCTCTATCGACATTTTGAAAATCGTTTTATTAAGAGAACTCAAAAATTCAGTGAATCAATTTTAAAAGTATCTATATTTTATTATACAAAGTCATACCGTCTGAATATTATTATCTTCATTAAAAAATTTTTTTTTTTTATAAAAACATTTGTAGGTTACCCGACGTTTTTGTCAATTTATTAATTACCACCATACATATATTACTGAACATAATCATTTTTACTATACGCATTAGATCAAACTGTAAGTTCTCGAAGGTTCGCTGGATGGAATTTATACAGCGTTCTATGAGTATAAATAGAATATATATCTATATACGTGAGGTGCAGTATCGATCATTATACTCATAGATACATATCAGGGAGAGAAGAGAAGTTATAAATTCAACTTTTCAATTATATGTCAAACTTCGTGACGTCTACTGAAAATTTTTAAAAGAAAATATACCTAGCAATACTCTTACTGACAACAGTCCATGGTAAAACGTACGGATTGCAGATTTCCGATGTAACTGAGTATCAACGAGATTGTCGAGTGCCAATCACGTAATCATTGTTGACTGACTTTCTCCCAAGAGAAAAGAGAGAAGATACATGCACTCGTTACTATATCTATATACATCTAGCAACACTACTATACCAGGTCTGGTTGACCCTCAGGTTTCTTCTCTCTTTGGTACCTTCCGTCAGACAGGCTTCCGCCTGCGCCATTGTTCGATTCGGTTGCACAGGAAGAAGGGAATATATTTTACTATATATATATAGCAAAAAATAAATCAGCTCAAACCTATTGACGAGAAGTTCAAAAGAACTCGGTGCAGCCTCCCTTTAAGCACCGGTTGGGTCGTAGACGTTATAGCCGAAATCTTTTTCATTATGAGAACGCTTTTGATTTCATATGTAGTCATCCAGGAGTCTCCTTGCAAGGCAACCATTTCTTTGGCGAAAATTGGGTCTGACTGCGATCGATTTGTCCCTGAGAATCGATGCTCTTTATCTTGGTCCGTTTATCTGCGTTGATGCTAAAAAGCGTTTGTTTTATTAATATAAAATTGCATTGTCAGATAGGGAATGGTAATTGTAAAAATGGATATTTATAGTTTTGTCTTTTACGTCAAAGCGTAAATTTTGAACGATTTAATTTAATATGATGCCACTCTTGTGGATGTTAATTTTTTTAAATATTGAGATTGACTTATGTTTATTGATTTGTTGTTCGAGAAATATTTTAATATTTCTAGAATCAGTCGGATACGGTACGATGTCGATTATCTGATGCTTTTGTATCAATCAATAATCCAACGTAATAACTGCATCGACTAATGCATGGCAACGCGTAACAACAGCTACGTCGAGTCAGAGGCTAGCAATGCGGTTCTTTCATTCTTTTCTACCTCCAGAAAGTTACCGCCAACTCAGACAGACTCTCGTTTGACTCCTTGCCTGACTGCCTCTTCGTGTTCATCTGTTCCTCTGGGAGTACGTTTCACTAGAGACTTGGTGCTGGGACCTGGAATAGCTGTTAGATTGGCGGCGCTGATCGAATTCGAAAAAAAAATCTTACGTGCGTGTTGCGTATATGTCTCCAAGTGGGACTGTCTCAGGAATATATTGGGTCCAGGGTACGAGACCCTCAGGTCTGAAGGAACTTTTGCAAAGCGACGACAATGATTACAACCGGTTGACCGGTAGAAAAATAGCTGCTAGAACGAGACGGACTTGGTTAATGTCTGAAGTGAAATTGTCGTTTTATCAACATATAATAATTGAGGTTATGTCGAGTCAGGTCGATCTCGTCGATCCTTTAGGATAATTATTTTTTCACCTTTTTATGATATCACTATCTATCCTTTTGTACTGGTTACAATTTATGTATTAAACAGTTTTATTTGTTCGTCGGGACGCCTTTCGGGGCAACCGTCTTCGCGAGGCTGTTCACCGTGAATTCACTGTAGAAATATTTCTCGTGTATAGAATTTACTTATATTTTTTTATACATATTGTGAATTTGTGCTTTACTTGGTATTAAATTTGTTTCTTGGGTCGAAAATTTAAATATTTTTTGCTTAGGACACTGCAGTAAACTATTCAAAGGTGGATACGTACAGTGGCGCCGCCACCTTCAAAATTCTGAAGCTCGCACGTATCGGACTCTATCGAGCAACAGCGCATGCGCCAATATCGTGACAGCCGGTTGGCGGTGTGCAACGTTCAAAAATCTTGAGCGAATTTTGCCTCTTTCGTTATTTTCTTTTTGTTCTTACTTCATCCTCCCATCGCCCAAGAGACGTTCGGATGAGCGCGCGATATCGCGATTGAAAGTTTCGTGGCGACTAGTCGGGGCAGGTGCCCATGAAGCGACCGACGCCTGTTCGAGACAGCCTTGAACGTTCGGGTCGTTGCTTTGAAGCGATGAGAGGCGTCGCTCTGCGTTCCTCTGTTCGCTGCTTGTTTCATTCGTTCATTTGCGGCCTCACTCGCTCATGGTTACTCACGAAAACGTAACTGGTTCCTATCACCTGCGGTGCGAACGAACCCTATGACTTATCGACGAGCCAACAGATAACGCGAAGGGTTATTTACCACTATATATAATATTACATAGGTAAACCGATTACCCCGTACTGACATTATGGCAGTATGACTAACCTCAAATTTATCCCGAGTGCAGTCGATGCACCCGCGTTTAATATTCCCATGTGCGAATCTCAGGATTTAAAGGTTAAAGGACTGGTCCGAGGTTCTCAACTTTAGGGATCCGTTGTGAGAGTTCAAGGGCTGTAAGTACAGATGCTATTTTATTTTTAAAATTGAATTTACTTCTTCATTTTTTTTTCTCTTTTAGACGTTGCTATTTAATTTATCTTTCCCGTTAACTTTTTTCGGCCAATACAATGGCAAGAGGCTTTACGATAGTAAGCCAATGGACCCTGCTGAGACAATATAAGAGCCTCGATTTCAGTTCAAGGTCCGTAGACGTCTAGAATGTTTTTTAGATGGAATTTCTTTTCACTCCTAACGAAAGTACTAATCGTAGTAAAGGTGGAAAATAAATAGATAGTGTAGATAGATTCCATTAGATTTATATGTTCAAGGATTTAATCATTGAACGAGATGAATTTATTTTTTTAACTGATTATAGTCAGTGTTGGCCATAACTAACCACCGTAAATCCTATGTCGAGATTGGATTTCATGATCACGCTGGTTGGAGGTTTTACTTGAAACGTCATCGTGGTGACGATCTTGTGTCAGGTATGAATTCCTTGGGTAATAAATATGAATACGGGTAAAATCAGTGGACGGTGTCATGGAGATGCTACGATACGCTTCTCATTCCTTCTGGACCTTATTGCTGGTTCATTTCTGTATTCTTATCTCTGCCACGTTCAATGACTGATTGTCCACTGAAGAATCACCATAAAGCTCTGCTCATAAGGCTCCTATCAAACTTCTCAGTACGTCTTTTGTAGTTTGACGCTCGTAGTCGCCTGTTATTTAAAGAACCGTTCACCGATCCAATTATGCTTAACGATGGCCTTGAAAATATTAGAATTCAAAGAACTATGTAAAAAAAAAACAATCGACGACCCTCCATAAGGAGAAATATTCCTGGGTCCCACAAAATATCCTGAAAGACCCTCCAAAAGCAGGAAATCAGTTTTTCCTTTTGGCAACCACCGGTTCATCTTCATCTCACTCTTCCAGTTTAATAAATCAAAGAAAATAACAAGAGACGATCGGATCCTTCATTTCTATATCCAGCAACACTTAATTCCAAGATTTCTAAAAAGATATCAAAGACATAATACTTATCCCACAAAAATCATATAGTTATCAGTAACAAGATAAAACATTCTCATCCCCACCATGATAAAGAAAAAAAAACATAACCGGCATCGACCACACACAAGCCCCACGATATTTCATAAGAATTTTTCTCCGGTTTGCAAGATGCACTGGGTACGAGAAAAAAAGGGGAAGGAGAACAAAGAAATTATTGCTGCGAGTGAGGAGTCGAGAAAGAGAGGGAGAAAGAATCTACCTAACCGAGTAGTATATCGGCACTGATTAGGGGGTTGAAAAGAAGGATGAGCGTAAACGAAAAGTAAGAGAATTTTCAATGAAAAAAAAAAAAGAAAAAAATGTATCCCGGGGGTTGACGAGCCAGGCGAGCACAGAAGAGGGCGCCGTGAATGCGAAAGAAGGTACGTGGCTCGCTGGGTAGCTGGTATGATGGTGGGGAGGGGTGGTCCGGGTACCACGTGACCATCCCGACCAATAGGAGCACCGTAAACCCGGCGTCTGGCACATGGCGGCAGTGCCGCCTGCTCCGCAGTCGCAGTTCGTCGCAGTCAGTCGCAGTGGCATATTCGAGTAGGTAGTCGTACGCGCCTGCCTTGAGCTTTGCCTGTTAGCCGCCGCGACGCTCGGACTTCAGTCGGTCGGTGACGCCAACGTGATCACCATCACCATTCTCGCCCTTTGCTATAATAATACTAACCGAGTACGAGTAATAACTGATCGATGTACAAGAGAATACCGGTGAAGGACATCAACGAGAAACGCGTTTTATAACGTTTAACGTCGTTCGAGAAAAAATTGTGTGAGAGAGAGAGAGATAGAGAATAGACAGCCGCGATTTTCAAACGGAGAATAAGGAGAGTAAAGTCAGGACGGGAGAGAAAATTGGAGATAAGGAGATAACGGAAGGGAGTCCTGTGACAAAAGTCGAGATAGAAGAAGGGTATCTGCTGAGGATTTTACCTGCTGACGGAATAAATATTATATTACGGACGTTAGTTCGTGATACACAGAAAATACGTAGATACATATATATGTATATATATCGCTGTATATATGTATATGTATAATCGTAATCGCGTGACGTGACGAAAATTCGAATATTCGAAAGGGAAGAAACACGAGGAACGTTTATAATTTATTTTTCTACAGTGTGTATAACCTTTGTATACTTTGCCTGCGTTCGTAAGGAAACTCGCGGTACACAAGAAAAACAAAGGAACGTTTAACCAAAATTGTTGGTGCGGAAAGGAGCGGGTGTCAAACGTCGGCTACGTTCTACGTCTTATACGTCGTGATTTTCATCGTCGTCGAAATCGCAAACTGTTTGTCTCTGACGACGCAAGAGAACGTCTGATCCTCGTGGCACGTCTCTCGCGTGAATAAGAATCAGGTACAAGTGTGGGGAAAGAGAGAGAGGAACAAAGGAAGACGCGTAATTAATAAAGTGTATACAACAGTGCAAGAAGACTAAAGAGCGGAAGATAGAAAAGTCAGTAGAGCTTAATTAAAACAAAAGATAAATTAACGATTGAAATTTATCGATTAAATTCTGAAAGTGAATACTGTCTGTTCCATCCTCAGACGCTAATAGACCAGGATGCCGACGAGTATGCCGTCGAGTTTATTCAGCGAAATGGATCGTGGTGCAGCAGGCGGTGGTGCCGGTTCTCTCGAGGAACAACGCGCCCTGCAGTTGGCCTTTGAGTTGTCTATGATCGGATTTGAAGGCAGCGGAGGATGTCCTTCAGCAGGAACTGGCACAGGAACTGGATCGTCAAATGATTCTGATCCACTTCAAGCCACCCCGGCCAGCGTCTTCGAGGAAGCAAGATCTAAGAAGAGCCAAAACATGACCGAGTGCGTTCCAGTGCCGAGCAGCGAGCACGTGGCTGAGATCGTTGGCCGACAAGGTAAGATTGCTGACTACTATACTCAAATACAAGTGACGGGCTGACGTAATCTAATCTTAAAATATATAAATATTACAAGTAAAATCTCATCCTGCATTCCGTATTAATTTTATCGTATATCTTTCGTCAATTTTTCCAATTATTTCTTACGAAGTTACGCCTATGGGGCAGACTACGTTAATCATAGTCGTACCCGTGACCCTTTTTAAAGCCATTTTGATTCCGGTTGTTGACCGTCGTGTCATTTGACATAACTCGGATTCTTTGTCCTGTGAATGTGTAATACGCGTGTCAAGGTAACTGCTTAATAATTTGACGCTTAGGTTTCTCGTTTAGTTTTTACTTTGACTTTTAATTATATATTTCATACGGAAGATCAACGACATCTTTCACGTTTCCCCTCGTCCAGTGCACTTTTACGTTTGGATTTAACGATACGCTAGATTATCCAAAGCTCGCTGCAACTTGACCCCCCTTTATAAATGCGTATCCATTTTTTTCCGTCGCTCAAGTTAAATCAGCATTGTTTTCGATACGTGCGTCGCTCGACGACTTTCCTAACCTTGACACGAGGCGCGCGTCGCTCGTGCGATTTACGCGAAAAATCATGAACGATCATCGTCCGCTGCGAACGCGTCCCATTCACATGAATACTTAAATACAGCAAGGTATTGATTTGGTTTTGATTCTCGCCAACGAAATATTTAGCTTCGACCTATAATTACGTGAAACTCGTTCCTGTCTCTTATTAAAGAAAATATTACACGCAAACAATGAAAGCGACGAGTCGCTCGAACTCAAACGTCAAGGCGACTACGCAGAGAACCCAAAAGTAATAATCTCCCTTATCAGCCCAGGACCATACGAGGTAGACACCGGAAGTTTACCTCCGTAATGCCACCCCCCACAGGTCCCCTTATCTTTTTTTCGTTATTTCTCACTTTTATTTTTCTTCCTTCGTCCCGTCTCTCCCGTGGCAATGGCGCCCGACAGCCTATGACGCAATATCGAAGCGTCACTCCTCCTGGTCTGGCTTTCGAAGGTCTTGACCCTCGATGGAGAAAATAAAAAGTCTGACGTTCTCATAGAGATGCTCTTGATGGTTGCACCAATCTTTATTTCCATGCACGGTAGGACATATGCGGTATATATATACATACCCACGTACCAGAAGCTGCCGCCACTGTTCTGTTCCAGAAGATTCCATCTCTTCATAGCTTCATCCCATTTGGCTCCGTTCACAAGAATTCTTACGATATCTGATAAAATCCATACCGTCTGCACGGGAATGTAATTTGCACATGAATAAGTGTAGCTTGCAGTAGCCGCTGTGAAATTTTAGCATAATTCACGGGGGAGCCCTCCTTCAAGTCTCGTTTACATTGAACAGGTATACGAGCAAAGTTCGTAAAAGCATATCGATTTAACATGGACACGCAGTAAACAAGTAAAATTCTTTATTGCAAAAGGAAGAGTGTCCTTAGATGACGTATACGTTCTCTAACGTCTTTTATCTCTAACTTTTTCATTTTGAACGCTCGTCGACACGTTCCTGGACTCATGCGAACGCACGTTAATATTGGCACAAGGCTGAGTGGGTATCCTGGCTTCTTGAAGTTAGGCTCGTGCACGATATCCAGGTACGGTGACAGCCGATGGCTTCGATTATTATTCGATTCGATTGACAGACGTAAACACAGAGTCGTACACGTTAACAGTGACAGATTAGATTCTGATTAATCAGCGACAGAGATAACGAGGCACGCGGAATCTAATGGAAATATATTTATATAATTATAAAAGCAACGTCGTTCCGCTGATATTTTTCTTAGGGATGTAATTATAAATAATAATTTAAAATAAATATTACACGCGATCGTTATAGTAGGTCCAGGACACCACGTGTCGTTCATTGGGTTGTAGCCTTAAGGCTACGCCGCCGTTTGTAATTTTGGGCTGGCTCGAAATACGATATATGCTGCAGGTTACATGGAAACGCTCGCAGGACTCTCGTGTCCCCGGCTGCGCACGGCATACTGATTCGGAAGGAATTAGGATGGATTACTGTTACGTTACTCTGTCATATATCGCGCTCTGCAATAATAATAATGTCAGGCTTAGTTTATTCGATTCGTAATGTTACTCTGCGATTGACTGACGCAGCCGGTAGGAGCGTCGGGCAGCGTCTAGTGGGATTAGAGAGATTCGAGAGACAGGAGCGAAGGACAGATAGTGGCGTAAGTGTCAAGAAATGGTGAGAGGTTAGAAGAGAGGGAGAGAGGGGGAGAGAGAGAGAGAGAGAGAGAGAGAGAGAGAGAGAGAGAGAGAGAGAGAGAGAGAGA